TTTTTTTATAATTATAATTTGCCAAATTTTACATATAAAACAATTTCCCAGCATTGTATTGTACATTATAGATTACGGAATTATTTAATAACGTATTAAAAAGAAACTAAAATAATAAAATTTGTCTATAAACATATTTTAAGATATCTAAGAATCCTTGTCACTGAAGAAAAATTGCATAGTAAGATTATACTGCATTTTCCCTAGAGATATTAATGCTTTACCACTAAGAGGTAAACAAGGAGGAAGGAACCAGAATGCCATCAAAACTACTGCATATGCAGAAGTAAATATTGTAACAAACCATTTTATAAGAACAAAGTAAGCAAAACATCTCCAAGCATATTTATCATGTATGCTCTGCGGGCAAAATGCTTTAAATTCACTGTTATTGGATTCACTGTTATTGGATTCACTAAGTATATTAGGAAGTGGCATTGTTTCAACATCAGTACCATGACAAAGGCGAATTGAAAGAATCTCAATTACACCTAAAGACCTTAATAATATGTATGTATAAAACACAATTACTATAAGATATTATAACACTTGGATCAAATTTTGACAATAAATATCACATACCTCCAACTCAAAATCCATAACCACCAAAAGAAAGATCCCAAATAAGGAATAACTGAAGTGCCGACTGCTGCGAAAAATGTGCCCCATATCCAAGCACAAGCGAACATGGAAAATGGAGTACTAATAAATATGCTATTATTATGAATTAAATCGTTTAAATACAATTATTAACGTATAATAAAATTATTTCAGTTACATAGATTTCAACAACATAACTTATTAATTCGATCATTAAATTGCAAATATTCAAGACCATGGATAGTGTCGGGTAATACTGTAAATAACCAATTAATTTTCCTAAAATATATTAGAATATTTTGTATTCTTTAATTTGATTGGAGTAGTATAAAGGTACTATTCATTTAATGCTTTCAAGTATCTTTCTGATTGTAGTTTTCTGGCAATGCACAACCATTATGATATCAATTATATAAATAGATAGTACGAACAGTAATATTAATTCCGCTGCCACTATTATTTGTTCATGTATATATCAATTTCTATATATTACATATTGGGATTTTATAATTAATGATACGGCATCTTATTTTCTTAAAATCTATTATTAATAAGTTACAAAATTCATACGTATACGTATGCACCTGTTTAGTTTTCAGAACCTCAAATATAAACGAAATTTTTTTGAATTCTCATTTCGAAATTAGTTAATTTTAAAACCCCTATTACCCTGAAATTGCATAATAATGGGAGTTTAGAAATTGCATTTATATTTGAAATTTTGCAATCAGAAAACTAAATAGGAAACATATGAATATAAACTTTAAACTTAAAAAAATTGATTTATGAAATCAGATGCCAAATCATTAATTTTGAAATTCTCCAATAATATGGCGATATACTTCAGATTATACATTACAGCATTATCATCTAGAGAAGGAATAGCTATAAATAGAGGTGCAGACATTTTGGGGTAACGGAGTTGCAACTTTCACTACTAAAGTTACAACTTTTGTAGTATTGTGTAAGTAGTAATATAAGTAGCGGGTAATAAAGTATTAAGTAGTAAATCATGTCGCAAAAGGTAGTAATAGAAGTAATGAATAATTTGATGTGTTATAATGCCGTAATGTAATATAGCATATTTAATGTATATAGTAATAGTAATGAATATTGAATATATCACCCTCATCTGTAAACTTGGATTATGCGCCTGAAGATTTAGTAAATCAAATTTTGGCTATTATTTTTCTTTTTTCTTTTGAATATGGGTTATCAGTCAGGGAAGATGTCACGCTGTGTGATAAATTATAATAAACATTATAATAAACACATATAAATTTACTATAAATTTAAACTCAAGATCCTTTTCAACTTATAAATTAAACTTATTTTCAAATTTTGTAGTTAAACTTATCGAAAATATAGTTCGTCAACGAAGTGACGGAGCATTCATTATTGCGAGATCAGATGATTTATTGCAGATCTAATCTGTTTTGTTTATGTTTTTGTTTATGTCTCTGTTTTGGGTTAGTCCAATGTTTTTTACATGTGTTTGTTATTGTTAAGTTGTTATGAATATCAATAAAGGAGTAAGTTTTTGTTAAATTGTTATGAATATCATCAAAGGAGTAAGTTATTGTTAAGGCGTTATAAATGTCGGCAAGGAGTAATGATTATCAGGTGCAGGGGTAAGAAGTGAGACGTGCGCATGTGAATTGTAGGAAAATGGGGAAGTTTTATAAGGGCGGCGTTTGGGAGGAAGAAGCCATCTTTTGCTTCGCTGTCGCTCGCCTTTAGAAGTGGCAGGCTCTTTCGTCCCGCCCGTTCCCCCAATAGTAAGTGGCTCGGTGGCTATTCGCAGTGTAATAACCACGGAGTTCCATTAGTTCTTTAACACTTATAAAAGACCCCTTTTTGCTTACCCAAAGTTAGCTTTATTTCCGTACACCGTTGGAGTTAGATTGGCATCTTTTTATATTATTTTATTAGCTTTCCCATTCAACGGTTACAATAGTCAAAAATAAGATCTAATTCTCGTCCGTTTAAAAAAATTATCTTAGTAATAAGTTGAATTTTATCGAGTTTTGAGAAAACCTTCTATACAGTTTTTTCTTTATTTCATTATGATTAGTTTTCGTTTTTTTTAAAAAGTACTTAACTGTATAAATAATGTAAAATTAAATTGAATTTATTAGCCAATCAGACAAATTCTGCCTATGAACCTACATCATATGAGTGCTGCCAAGGGAAACTGTCACTTCGGACTTTCAATTACATTTTGACCGGACACTTTCTATTTAATTTTATTAATATTAAGGATTGTGTCCGGTCAAAATGTAATTGAAATAGGGATGTTAAGT